GGGGGGGGGGGGGGGGGGGGGGAGTTGGGCATTTTTTGTGATTAATTAGCTAAATAAAGTTAATTTGCTTGTATGGGGACTTTAGCCGCAGTACAGGCCACTGGGAAGATGATGCCTGGGCCCCCGTGCCCAGCAGTGCCCCCTCGCACTGCAGACCCCGTTCAATGTCACATCTGCCAGCCGCTGGAGGAGAGCCCCGTACTGGCGCAGTGCCGGGGGCTCGCGAGCACGCTCCTGCATCCGGCCAATCGCGAGTAGGCGTGAAAGTAGGTCAGAGTGTGAGGGAGTGCGCGGCAGGTCCCGCTACAGCTCTGCATCCTCCGAAGCGGCCCTCGTGCGCCATGAAGGTCGCCGCTCGCAGTCCTTCATCTTGCCGCCCAACCACATGCAGGGCAAACAGGTGCCACATCCATTATGAATCATTCTGCAGAATTTTTTATTTCATTTTTTCACATCCTGCGATCTTCCAGCGCTCCTGATCATCTCCAGGATGATGGTCTGCAGTGTTTATGCGCCGTGAAGGTATTGTATGAGCGTACCTCTGCCAGAAGCCCTTCTGGCTGCCACGGCTGTCCGCCCCGAAGGGCCAACCCTCCGGATCCGGTTTGGCCGGCGTGCTGTGAAGCAGCCGCTCGGGGGTTTTAATAATGGGCTCCAGGCCTGCCAGCAGAGCCAGCGGTGGTGAGAAGGTCTTCATGGCTGGAGTGTGACTTCAGCCAGCATGTCTCCTGGCCTCCATGCAGGTGCTGCATTACCTGGCGGTGCAGAACCCAGCCGACCTGAGTCGGCACCTTCTGCCCTGCGCGCTCCACGCTGCCATCCTGAAGCTCAAAGAGGAGGGTGAGTGCTGGGTCTGACCGAGGCTCTGACCTCTTTACCTCCACCTGGCTGAGCTAAGCTCTGCCCCCCCGCCTGCCCGGCATGTCATTGGCTGCACTGTGACAGGCCTCTCCCCGGGATCCCTCCCACAGAAGCAGCTGAGGACATCCCATCCGTGCGCAGGGCCACCCAGCAGCTCCTGGTCAACGCCAGCAAACTGCTGCGTCACCCGTCCCCCGACTACAAGAAGATGGAGGTAAGAAGACAGGTGTGGTCCTTGGGGGTGGTGGTGGAGGCAGCAGAGCTCTGAAAGGGTGCCCCACACGCCTGTCACCCTGCCAGGATATCATAAACCAAGTGGTGGAGGTAGAGACGGTTATTGCCCGCGCCCGCTCCCTGAAGGCCAAGTTTGGAATCGACGCAGGCGAAAATGTTGGTGACATGGAGGAACTGAAGAGGTAGGAGGCCCCATGGTGCACTTGGGATACATTGGTAAATGGAGAGCAGCTATAGTTCCTCACAGCAGTGATTCTTTGTGCCATACCACTTAACAACCACCTGCCCGATTGCAAAACTCCTTTTGTATTTAATGTATATTTAATATTTAATGATTAATGTTAAAAAACACAACTTGCACTTGAAAAGCAAAGCATTTAGATGATGTAATTCCGGAAGCTGTCTGTGATTGAGGCATCAGGGTAGGTACCACGAGTGGGAGTGTCCTGAGAGAAAGCAGGTTATTGGCTGGTTACGTCACCTGCAGAGGGTGCATCACCCCTGATGCTCCCCACCCCCTCAGGTTTGCCAGTGCGCTGCTGGAGGAGCCCGAGGTGTCAGTGGTGGGTGCTGGGAGGGGCCCCGCAGGCACTATCATCCACCAGCTGTTCACCAACGCCCAGAAGGTAAGGCTAAGCTGCCGGGGCCGGGGTGTGCAGGACGGTGCAGGGATTCCCCCATAGTGCCGTGACAATGCCTTGAGTGTAGGTCACAGGTCACGTTGCCCTGGGGTGCCCCGCCGTCCCCAGTCCACCCGTGTCACTGAAATGTCCCCCCAGGCTGTTTTTCAGTATTAAAGGACAGCCTGCATGTTGTCGTGGCCTAAATATAATGCCTATAATTATCCCCAGGATATGCAAATCAGCAACTCAAAGCAGATACTTTGTGAAGCAGCAGCAACATTAACCTATTTAAGCATTCGCACTCGGTAACCTGTAGTCACCATGTTGGTGATGCGCCCCCTTGTGTTCGCTGAGCTTTTGGCGTAAGAGTGTGCATGCCTATATCTTTCTGCTGCCTGACTGAAATCGTCCGTTGAAGTGTCCCGGTGGCTGCTGACGTGTCTTTTGATTGTCTCTGTCCAAACACTGCTGCCAAATACCACACCTCTCAAGCTGGCTGACTCTGCTGATGAGGTAACCCTGCCACCAGGCACCTCAGGGAGTTATGGCTCTCCCCTCTCGGCATGTGAGCTAGCTGTACTGCTATGCTTTGAACCCTCTGTTTTGTGCTTGTCATCCCTCTGGGTGCTGATCTATCTCTGTTGTGTGTTTGCATGCTTTCATTCATCACGCCCTCACAAATAAGAGTTCATTGGTGGAGACTGAGGTTGGTATATGATCTTTTGTAAATTTCTAGCTCCTTTAAGCAGTTCACAGCTACTTTGTTCGGGGACCTTTCAAAGAATTAGGGGTTTTAGTTTTAATTGGATGCACATCTTGCAGTCTTTCTGCACAAAATGTCTCTTCAAATGACATGCAATCCTGTAAATCCCCATAAAACATGTGAATTTCCACTCCTTTTCCAGCATTCCCAATGAAGGAATCTGTTGATGTGCAAAGACTTACTAATTTGTGACAAACTTGCTAATCCATAATTTATTAAAAATAGATCCAGTTAATTTACAGCCATTTTCCAGTTGACGCTTTCATGTCGAAGCTACTTTGTGATATTTCAGTTGTTTTCACACCAGTTTACATCACCTTTCACCCTGTGCACAGTGCTGTGTTGGCCATGCAGGATTTGAAGGGACTGCTTTGTGACTGACTACACTGTGTTGACTCCTCTCCTGCAGGCGGCTCTCTCAGCTCCTATGGATGACGACCTCGGGAGGGTAGGCCGGCCTGAGGACGGCAGGCCCGGGGGGAGCAGCGTACCTGATTTCCCGCCACCGGCAGGAAAGGAGATCCTGCTCCGGACATGCGTGCCGCGCCCCGCACCCTACTCCAAAGAGCTGCCCCAGCGCCTGTTCTGCGTGCTCATGAGGGATGACTTCCGACTGGCTGGAGCTTTCTCCTCAGACACCTCCTTCTTCTGAGGGCCATCACACATGGCGGCATGCGGGCCATAGCTGACGTGTACTTTCACGAACATGGGCCAATCAAGCATTAAATAGTGAACAGGGGAAGGTTTTGATTGGTTTATGCTTCACTGATAGCACATGGTAGCTAGGCAACTGGTGTGATTCTTGAGACCTCCCAACTAGGCAGTAAGGGACAACACTGGCTGAATCAGACTGTTCAGGATCTCCTGGTGGGCTACAAGGACCTTCTAAATAAAAGAACCCAGTACAGCTTCAGTATTCAGCCACAGCCATTGCAAGACATTGTTTTGCTGCAAACAACTTGTCATCGTGAGCAATCCATAGAGAACCTAGCTTTTAATGAAAGTAACTGACATAAAGGAGGGAATCATTTGTTGTGACTACAGACCATATTCTTACATTCAGTTGCAGGAACTGTCCACCTTGGCCTAAGGCTGCATCACTGTGCTGCAGGTGATGTAGCTGTACAGCCAGTTCTGTCACCTCACATATAACAAAGTTAAAAAGCAAAGGGAAAAAAAAACAATAGCAGAAGTGCCATTCCTGACTGTTGCATTAAATTACTGGCTGATCTTAGGTGTGTCCACGTCGTCCGTGCTGTTCCTGTAGCGTGTCAGCGCATGCATGCTAACCGTGAGAGTTATGAGATCTTACCCAAGAATACTTGGTCAAAAGTGCAATTATACAGAATACATATTATAAAGATGTAGGATTATTTTTTTTTGTGAGGAAATGTCACGGGTTCACGGTTAAAGATGTAAAATTAACTGTTAGCTACCTGCACAAGTAAACACTGACTTTTCAGAAGAGCTGGAGTGTAATAATGGAAGTTTGGACAGCAGCTGGTCGTGCTGATGGTCTGAGATGTTGGGCTCTTAGTGGGTTACTGTTAAAAAGACTAATAAAGTTTTAAATGACAAATGATCCCCCCTCTGCGAACATGTCCTGCCACTGACACACGATGAGAGTTAAACCAAGTGGAAGATGCTGTCAGAGGTTAAATGAATAAACCTCAGGTGCTGATATGGGGCCGGGGGGGGTTGGCGGGGGGCACAGCACAAACAATGGACAGACCCTTTGTGGCGGCTGCGGATCTCAGCCCTCGTTTACGCTGTCATTCAGAGCCACCGATGATGCTCATCTGGAAACAACTGACAAAAAAAATAAGATAGTCTTCTCAAAGCAGCGTAACCAGCACAGCAGATATCTGACAGTTTTGATCAGCAGCTGAGCTCTGCCAGAAGCCTCGCTAATTTGTGCTTCCAGATGCACTCGCAGACATGCAGAGAGGAAGGAGATTTAAGGGTACACAGCGAGCGCGAGAGGCGAGGCACCGAGGCGAGGGAGTGAGGGGGGATTTTTAAGGAAATGTGTTTTGCTAATGATCTGTAATCAGAAAAATTTCTCGTATCACCTTAAACTTTAACAGATGGCAAGTTAATCTGTAAGGAAGGCAGTATAAAGATTGAGATTTTAAAAATTGTGCTGAATTGCATGTTTAAAATATCTGTTCGTGGACTCATTTCTGCTCAGTGAAACTCCCTGCCGGGATCGGGTAGGCTGGCAGCTCCGTCGGACTGGGTCCGTCCTTCAGAATCCAGCCGATCGCCGTAACGTCTAGTGGCTGAACACACATCTAACAGCTCCACCACGAGCGATCGTGTAGGTCGATCGTATCAGTCACCAGTCACCTCACTGTAATTTTGTGAAGCATTCCTCAGAGATTAAATAGGATACAGAGGAGCTGGCACAGAAAGACCACTATAAAACCATTTATGTGGGCAAATTTTAAAGCATTACCCATATCAAGTACAGTGCATGGTTGCAGGCTTGGGTGTGAACGATGCCGTGACAGAGCATCACTAACCTGATCATGATCACGGTGCCAGCTGATTGGGGGGGGGCAAGGCTGAGCAGTGACAGCACACTGATGCCTCCCAGGCAGGGCCGATGTACTCCACCAAGCGTCTGCCAATCCCCACCAGTGCTGACGTCACCGCGAGCAGCCGGTCACGATTAACCTGCTCAGGTTAAGCCTTGAATCTTTGGAACTAAAAATAAACGCCTTGTTTCTCACCCTGCGCTTCATGAATCAGACATGCCTGTTTATTTTCAGTTTCATTTCTCTATTTTCTGTTTCATTTTCAAAGGAAATTCAGCAAGTGAGATGAGATCCATTCGCAGTTTAGCGGCGAGCTGCTAACTAGTCTATAAACGGAACGCGAGCTGTGAAAGTACTGCATATTCCAAAGTGCTGCTTATCACTCCGCTCCGTCTCCATAGTAACTTCCAGCACTTTCTCCCCCCTGACTTGAGCAAACGGCAAACGTGCAAGAATAGACTGGGATGACTGGTACCCCTGAGGATGCCCGCTGTCACATGGCACAAGCGGCCCAGGAAGCAGACTGATGCAAGCGCCACAGAGCGGACGCTAATGCGGGGGAGACGCTAACAGCGGTCAGAGGCACTAATATCAGGGGATGCTGACGGCGGTCAGAGGCACTAATATCAGGGGAACATGCCCTGAGAATACGGAAGCATTCTCCTGCATGAAACCATACGCCCCTTTCCAAATCTAACAAGCTTTATTGAGCAACTTACAGGAGTCGTGGGAGAAAGTGCAGCACCCAGGACACCATCACTAACAGGCACCTTCTGTTAAAATGCAAATGAGTGTCTGCCCCCCCCCACCCAACTTTGCAAAAAGTTAAAATAGAAGCAGAACCACCTGCCCCTGATTAATGTCACCATAAATCACCAGTGCTTGCTCAGAGCATGGCCGGGGGGGGGGGGGGTCTTCTCCTGCTCAGTGCCTCTGGAGGGGAGGCAGCAATCGGCCCCAAGAGGCCAACGGGGAGAGAGAGGGGCCCGGTCGTTAGTCAGAGACTGCGCTGGGATGGCAAGGTCCCTGCAGCCCTCAGCCAGTGCTGGGGGGGCCCTTCCCCGCTCACTTTTTGATGAAGAACTTGGTGATGTCAGAGGCCAGCTTGCCGGCAGCCACGCCCCTCTTCATTTGGCTGCGCTCCTTGGCTTGCTGGGCCGTTCTCTGTTTAAAGACACAGATGGAGGCTTCGCTGAGGATTCCATCCGTTTAAACGGTATGAAAAAATAACACATTCAAGAGCCGTGGTTCATATTCAGCTGCAATGATGCCGTTCAGAAGAGCAAATATTATTCATTCATTGTCTAAAGTGACCTTCCAGCGAGGTTAATCCAGCCCATTGCCACAGCCCCAATTTTTCCATTCTGAAATGAAAATGTAAAATAGCGGTGGACTGAAGGGGGGGTGAGCTCACCTCTCTGTGACAGACGGTGCAAAGGGTCTGCAGGTTATCCAGGGAGCACTGGCCCCCGCCTTGGTAGACAGGCCGGATGTGGTCAGCTTGCCAGAACTGGCCCTCTGTTGGGCTGCGGATGATCTCGTTCAGCTAGGGCAAAAACACGGGGCATTCAGGCCCGCACAACCAGTCCAGAATGTCCCCACGGCAGCCTGGCATCAGACTGCAAAGGGCCGCTGTACCGTGAGAGTCCGCAGAGGCTTCAGACACACCGCATTAAGGTATGAAGGGCTGAGATGTGATCTGCAGTACAAGACCCATCGAATGGGTCAGTGCGAGATGCAACCAAACTCCTCCAGGAAGCCATCCGACTACAAACGCAGATCTTATCGAGAAACGTGGAGGAGGGGTGGGGAACTTCTGAGACGAAGGAACCATGGCTGGTATTTGAGATAAAGCTGCCGGCCTTAGGTGGCTGATGCCCAGGGGAGGAGCCAGGCCATGGAGATCGATTCACGGTTCTCCGCCGACATAATTAGCCTCAGTCCTCCGGGAAGCGTGGGAGGCTCAAAGAGAAGAGGAGGGCGGAGTGAGGGCCAGGCCACCCTGCTGGTCGATAGGCACCCATCGCGCCCCCGCCAGCCTCATCCTCCTCTCAAAGCCGACCCAGCGCACCCATCGATTCCCCAAAGGCTGTTTCTCAGGGCAAGGCACCAAGTTAGCAGTACCTGTGCCTGGGGGTTTCATCCCATGCCCCCAAAACAGAGGAGGACATGCTCGACCCCCAAAGGCATTAAAATCACCCCTGATCACAGCATTTTTATTGCTATTAAAAATGTGTATGTTATATAAACCCCACAGTCAACCCCCCCCCCTTAAGAGTAATATCAGCCCCATTCCCATTCATCAATAGCCTAAACTATCACTCAACACGTATAAACCCACAAACCTTACACTAACACACTAACGTCCCCCACCATGGCCAGTCTAAGATGTGCCAAACTCACCAGTTTGAGGGGCAGCTGTGCCAGCCAGGTGCCCTCCAGCATCTCCTTCCTGTGTGCAGGTGGTGCGTCCCGCACGCGCGTGAACAGCTGGTGTGCGTTCAGGCCGCAGTGCTGGCACACTCCGTGCTCGGCCTCGAGGACCCGCGTGCGCACGTACGCTCCGCTGGACCGTGTCTGAAAGTCCTCTCGGCAGCGCTGCTGGCAGAAGCGGCCGTCCCAGGCGCCCCCGGGCCTGCAGGGCGCCTGGCAGGACAGGCACAGGGGGGTGCCCGCGCTGTCCAGCGCCTGCAGGAACCCCCTCTCCTGTGGGTCGGCCCTGCGGGGAGCAAGATGGCCGATAGCGTCACCCCCCCACAGCCACTTGGTGACCACCTCACTCATCTGGTACTGCCGTCGGCACGGAAACTGTCCGTGCAGCTCCACGACCTTGCAGCTACCTGTCAGGAGACATGCTGGTCAGCTGGGCAGATGTCCTCCTGGTGGAGGTCTCAGAGGTGACGTGTCGGATGGTGCCGCTCTCGATACGGGCCTTGCTGAGTGAGGCGTGGGCCACATCCTCTTTGGTGAGAAACCTGAGCCAAAGAGGGAAGCTTTTAAAACACACACAGACGCGCACACACACACACACACACACACACACACACACACACACACACAAAGCAGCAACCACCTATGCACAGATCAAAGGGGCGACACTGGGGCAGTTTCTCTCTGCCATGTTTGTGCATGAAAGAGAAGCCCAGCCTTCCAAGAGCCACAGCATCGGGATCAAGAGCGCGAGATGAAAGTGGCCTGGGGAGGCCGGGGGAGGATGTGCAAATTGATTGTGGAGAAACACGAACAAGAGGCCGGCGTGAAGCCTGGAGAGATCCCTCCGGGGGGGTGGATTCGGCTCGACGCTCCCCCCACCCCGGATTCTCACCTTTTAATTAAACAGAGGAGCTCTGCTGTAATGCTCAGCCCCGCCTGACACCGCACTGGGGGGGTACCCCTCAGCCAATTACAAGCTGCCCATAATCTCCCCTGCGCTTCCTCTGGCTAAGGACCTAATCATCTAAATGGTCCCCTGACGTCAGCAGACACACGTATCCATAAACTAAAGCCAGTGGCTCAACATGCATCCTTAAAGCTCCCCGTTTTGGTCTGTGAGACTCGGCCGGGGAATAAATCACCGTTTTCATAAATTCTCCAAACGAAACGCAAGATTGTCTCCAAAGGATGTGACAGACAAAGCCCCAAAGCCCATGTCATGAGGGAGACTCGGGGATCACCGTGCACTGCAGCCCCGAAGCCCCCGCACCGTTTGGTGATGCTGCGCCGCCGCTGGTCACTGGTGAGTTCCTCCAGGAGCAGCATGGAGCTCTGGAACAGGCGACCGCTCCTCCGGATCACCCTCTGCTTCATGGCTGACAGGGAGGTCCAGCCCCGCACGAAGCACAGCACCTGGGGGTTGGCGGGTCTCGTCTCGTTAGAGGAACTCGCCCGAATGTCAAAATGTCAGCACGTCAGCCCCTGCTCCACCCCACCAGAAAGTTCTCTACAGTATTTCACAGGAGAAACCCTGTGTCTGTCCCTGCCCCCCCCCCACTCTATCCCTGCCCTCCTGTCTCCCCTCTGTGTCCCTAACCCTCTCTGTCTTTCCCCAGGCTCCCCTCTCTGTTTGTCCCTGGGCTCCTTGCTCAGCCCCCCCCCCCCCCATCCACACCCCCCATCTCCCTCGCTGGGCTCCCATCTCCGTTCCTGGCCCGGTACTAACCTGCAATCGGTTCTCCCAGCAACTGAACTGCTGGGGTAGGTCGTCCCAGGTGTCCAGCTTGATGTCCATGGGGATGAAGTTGCAGTTCAGTGGAGAGCCTTCCTGCAGCAGGAAGAAGGCAGCGTGGCCTTAAACACGCTTGGCTGATTAGCTGTTAGCCTGCTGTCACAGGTTAGATAAACCCTGTCCTGTCTCGTGCTGCCACAGCATGAACACGGGCACCTTGCTGTAGATGTAGATCCTGTCGGTGTTCCTGCTGGCCCGGAACTTCAGGCCCTCGTAGACAGGGAGGCCAGAGGAAGATTCACGCACGGTCCCTGTAAGAGGACAGGGGACGGAACGCCTTTATCTACAACATCCCACAGCCTGCATTCATCTCACAGGTCTCTAAGGATGCAATCTGAAAGGCAGGAGGTGTGATCAGGTCCAGATATCACGCATTGTGCATGCGCAATAATTAACAGGGCTCCAGATGACAGGTGAAACATTTATCGGACGCCAGCTTTTCGCTACTTTACAGACATTTACTTACGTCCACAGTTTGGTAAACTGATGAGTAGTACACCTAAAACATTAATATGCGTACTGTAATGCCCATAACTTGGTAATCTGTATAAATTCCTTGTATCCTTATGCTTATTAAATCACAGAAGAAGAGCACTGAAGTGGTGGCGAAGAAAGGAACAGCACAGCAGCCACAATATCTTTTAAAAGAGGAGATCTTGTGGATATACGAGGTAAAAAGACGTCGGCGGTGTGACGGTACTTTTTGCAATGTAAAGTCCGACACGTTTATTAAACATAAGGATATGCTGAATTTATACAGATTCCTAATATTCCTAATTAGCTGCACTACTAATCTACTTTCCAAATTGTGGGCGTAAGTAAACGTCCATATAGTACCGAAAAGCTGGTGTCCAGACAATGATTTGGCAGTTATCTAAAGCCCTGCTGATTATCGCGCATGCGCCATATAACCGCAGGTATACCACGATGTGATATCATGCAGCCCTAGATACTAATAATAATGCTCTTACTCAGCAATTTTTTTGTGTTAACAGCATACAGATAAACAGCTCAGGACAACTTTTAGAAAAACTGTTTCTTTTGGGGGTACCTTCAATAGACAGCATGAGGCCAATCAGATCAAGGCCTGATATTTATAACATACCATTTAAAATAAGTCTCAGTTTTTACATATATTAGATATAACCTTCAAAGAGAGGGAGAGGGGAAAAAACATTCAACTCAAAAAATGATCCCTTTTAAAAAGAAAAAAAATATCTGCATAACTGTATAACCTTGAGTTCCTGCAGAGGCATAAAACCTGCCAGTTTATACAGGTCCTGTACAGTGGTGTCTGTCCAGCCATCCAAAGGAAGCAAGGCTCGCCCAACCTCACAGGGACACTGCGAAAGTGCCACTGTGACCTCTGCTGCACGAGTGGGGGGGGGGCTGGGACATGTGCCATGAGGGACCCCCGGCCCACGTGCACCGTGCTGTCCTAGCTGGGACCAGGCAGAGCCTGTTGTCACCCTAATATACCTTCAGGGGGAGGGATGGGGGGTAAATACAGGCCACTGGCGTTACTACAGAAAACACGCAGCACCATTAAGCACCGTTAAAAGGGCTTCTCACTGCAGAGGGTCTCGAGTGTGTGTGGCGCGCTTTGGGGGGGCCAAGAAGCCAGTGCCAGCCCGGCGCTGAAGGTGTTAATTGGACTGGGGCCTCGTTCTGCTCCCGCACCAGGGTCTCGGAGCCCCTCCCAGCCGGCCTGACTGACCTTGGCAGCAGCGCTTGTGTGCGCTGGTCACTAACGCGATATCCTGTTCCTGAGCCTCCCCCCCCAGCGCAGAGTCACCGAAGGACACTCCCCGTTCCTGCTGCGTTTATAACCCATCCATCTGGGGCTTCTTTTTGTCCTCGAAGCTTTGCAGCCACTGCTGCCACCACGGCTCGCTTACATTACCAGGTGGAGTAACCTGACCGCAGGTTCTGCTGGTGGGGGCGTGTGCACCTCCACACCCCCAGCCTCATCCCTGCATGGGACACGGGGCAGCACACTGTGCAGCAGACGGCGCTTGACTACCTCGCTCCAAGCGCAGCCTATAAATATTGAAAAGAAGCTGCCGGAATTCGGATACCCCCCACGGGTCTTGCCCCGCTTCGCTCTCGGCGTCACCTCGCACGACCCTCTGCCATTTTCAGCGACAATAGGATCAAGCAGACAGGCCGAGGGGCGAACTATAACGCCACTCTGTGGCTGGATCCCGCCCCCTCTCCTGGCCCCATAACACCTGCCACAGCGTGACCTGCCGCTCAGCTGCTTGGCGCCAGGTTCGGCTGACACGTGTGTGGCCCACGGGGTGAAAGGTCACGCCCGACACGCTCACGCCGGCGGCTGCGTCGCAGAAGCTTGGCGCGGTCAGCGAGGTTCCACACCCCCATGAAGATCCTCAGGGATCAGCAAGATCAGCAGGATCAGCATAGCAACCAACCGCGAGCCGAGAGACCCCAAGCTCACGCCATCCTAATGCACGAGTATGGATGGGCACATCCTATCCTAAGGAGGACCAGGCCTAGGGTATATACACTGGTTGGGATGGCAGTCTACTGCTAGGTGTGCAAACATAGAACATGCGCATTACACACACACTGGTACCGTCTGCCAGCTGAGGTGAGCGACAGCCTGCCTGCCCATACGGGTGGGGCGTCTCCTCCTCCTCGGGCTCCAGGTCCACGTCCTCGTGCTCTGGCTCTCCACCCGTGTGCCCCTCATCCTGCTGTTCTGGTTCCCCATCGGTGTTGGAGGCCCCAGGAGACAGACGTGGGTCCCCTCCATCCACGGCAGAACGAGCGAGGCAGGGTCGTCGAGTTCCTTTTGGCACGGGCACGGCTGAGATCACATGACACAGAAGAGGCCCGTTACACTCACAGGAGCTCGACAGCGACAGACAACTTAAAAATTCTAGACAAGGAAGAGCAGCTAATGGGAGTATGGAGACTGTGAACCTCATTCTGCATTAATGGATGGCACACAGACCACAGGGTATGTCCACAAAAGGAACAATGAATCACATTTACAATCCACAGGGAAGTTAAACGCCTCAGCAGGAAACAGCTCGACAACACTGTCCTCCATCGCTCAACGAGACACACATGGCACCCACACAGGTAAAAGGGGCTCACCAGCGCCCCACACTGCACTCCAGGGGTAGTACAGGTTACACCTTCCAGGCCTTCATAAAGCTGTAATGAATTTGCTGATCCGCAGTGCTAGGCCTAAGGCTCTCTGACGCCCAGCTTCCCATCGACTCTCTGAAATGTCACCCAATGTCCCCCCCTTCTTAGTCACCCATTTCGACGACTCTGCGTTCCCTGGATGAGTCTTACCACAGCAAACCAGGCCATGTCATTAACTGATGGTCACTGTTATGTAGCTAGCAAGTACCTAGAAAAAACATTTTTGGACCTTTGGGAGATGTGAAGTCAAGCCAATGTGACTTACTCAGAATCCTACCCAAAGCAAAACAAATTGGGGGGGGAAAAAAAAAAAAAAAACAGATAAAAATGATTTAGCTTCGGTACAACAAAGAAAAGCAGCCCACATAAGCCAGGAAATGATGAAGAGCCTGAGTCAGGCATGGTGATGCGTACCGGGGGGACACGACACCCAGCCCACAGCCCAGGCACACGGACAGCAAGCGGTGCAGAGCTCAGCACCAACCGACTTCCAGGGGCTCCATGCTGCTCTGTGTACAAATCATGGTCAACATAGCAGTAGCCCCTTCACTGGGCCTCCTACAGGTGACCTTCTCAGCACTGCCACACTGAAGCCCCACACACTGCGGCCCGTGTGAACGGCCAGAGAGCAGCTCCACCAGGGAGGGAGCAGGGAAAAGGGGCGGCTGAGACCCTGGAAGGTGACTCACACCATCTTAGCAAAAAGCATAAGAATCTTCTGTTAAAGGCAAAGCAGTGATGGCCCATTCAAACTGAAAGGTCACTAGACTCCACAACATTTCAGGATGTGGGGTTTTTTGTGTGCTCCTCTGCTGGGTGACACTGTAGCCCTGAGGAGCATTGAGAGAGGGGATGAGCTTTAGCTACAGCGCTAACAGGAACAGCATCTATGGAGGCAGGTGCAGGCTGGCAAACCCTTTTTCACATAAAACTTAAGGCTGGGCTACACATTTATATCATAAGGGGGGGGGTTGGCAGGAGGATCGTCCCAGGGGCCAAGGAACGGCCAGCGTCCCACAGCACAGACCGTATCGCAGTGCTTCTCCACCCCCACCATGCAACGCATACGCCGCGACCGGGGCCCACACTCCCCACAGGGGGCCCTTGTCTCCGGGGAGGCAGGGGGCTCGATGACAGGTGGCGCCGATGTGCAGGCAGCCGGGGGTTATTCTGAGAGGCGAGCGCGTGCTGATGTGCAGCCTCCCGCCGCGAGCTGACGGCTGGGAGAGCATCTCCGTGCTGACGGGCTGCAGGCTTGGGGGGGGGAGGGGGTGTTAGCGACCGCCGGCATTCTCTCCAAGCCCTATTAGGAGGCATGACAGGCCCGGCAAAGTGACAGGAGAGCTGGGAACTGGGCTCCGGATATTTATCATCACCACGGGCGACGCCCACTAAGCGCCTCCGCTCCCGCACGGAAGGTAAAGCGGGACGCGGCCGTGCCGTCGCCACAGTGATACGCCATGTCCAAACTGCCACAGGGACACCGGAACATTCCGTCGAAGAAAACTTGGGTATCCGGGACACTTTGTAGCGGCTGGGCCAGACCACGCCCCCGGGAGAGGTGCTGTGGGAGGTGATGGGATCGGACCTGCACAAAGTGCCACGCGGAATGAAAAGCACACTCTCTCACTACAGTGGGGAGGGGAAGCTCACTGCTGAACCGTGAGGAGCCCGAAGAAGCCTTAAATATTGTTACTATCCATATTTGTTAAGTCCCTAATGAGCCAAGCTGTCACATGACTCCATCAAACCAATCAAAGAGCTTTGCAGCACAGGGTTTGAATAAGAGCAGAGAAGCTTGGCGTTTATCGGGGGTTTCCCACTTGCCTGTGCAGGGGCGTGACGCCTCACACATCTCGCAGTAAGGGAGGAGGTCGCTGTTGGCATATGTGCAGGAGCTGCAGTTCCACTCCCCGCTGTGACTTGTGGGGGCAGCCTGGGGGGGCCCTGTGGACGGCCAGCAAGGGCCACTGGGCAGCGACGAGGGCCAGCGAATCCGCCGCAGCCTCTTACACTGGGGAGCAAATTCCTCGTCGGAAGTGTCAGTGCAAGCGTCTGGCTCGGCCTGTTCCCCCGAGGGCTTCCTCCGCCTCTTCTCCTTAGCGGAGCTTGGCGAGAAAAATGAACGGATGTCATGCTGGCGGTCCTTCTCGAGCTGTGTGACCGGAAAGAGAGCGATAGGTGAATAATCTTAACTTATCAGGATCACACAAGGAGGCAGACAGACAGACAGACAGACAAAGAGAAACAGACACCAGCCTATGGACAAGCAGACACCCAGGCCCTGGGGATGTTAGCCCTGATTGGTCTGTGCTGAGGCGACTTCACAAGCAGACTCGTCAGTGTCTGAGACACAGCGCAGTGCGGCAGACAGATGTTTAAACCCCCCCCCTCCCCATTTCACTTACATTATAGACACCGGGGTGACCTTTAAACAGAGCAAGAGACTCCATCTTCCTACAGGTCCAGGCTCCAGGTCTCCACCATTAACAGCATGAAAGCGCCGGGGGGGTGTGACACATTTCACCTTATGACACGCACACAACTTCCGCAGAACTCCTTAAGGATCTACAGCGTTTTTTCCATATTTGATCCTTATACAATACCTCTTTAAGTCATCCAAGCCACTTATATTCTCAGAGCATCTGGCCTCCATGTGCAGCTCATTGTGAAGAATTGATTTAAATGGAGTCCCATGTACTGCCTTTACAGTAATTACCTTTCATTTGGAGCCTTTAAACGAACATGAAATTATGCCTATAGCGGTCAGTCATTTTGTTATTAACTTGTCAGTCATTCTACAGCAGTTATTTTAAAAGGCAGAGAATAACACTTAAAATACATTATGGAACAGCTTCCAGAAGAACGCTAATTCGTCCAACAATGAATCGCAGGAAGGGGAAGAGGACATGGACATGCAGCTCAGTGAACATGGATAGATGCTGTGCAGGGTCCCAGCGGCGAATCTGCAGCAGGTTTTAATCACTTTAGCACACGTTCCCAATCGGTTTGATGGAGCCCAACTTACATGTGAGAAGAACACGCCTTCGTCTTTGTGATTGGTAGGGACCCCCTCCACGGCACCGCTGGGCGTCCACATACTGGCAAAATTCAGGAACTCCCACTTTTCCTTGTCCCCGACTTCCGCATTGAGGTACTCCTTCCTCCCATTTAAGGTGCTACCTGTTATGGTTTCCTGTGACCAGCAGGTGGTGCAATGTTTAAGGAGGTGGACTTACAACCAACAGAATGCAGGTTCAAATTACAATAGATTGTTTTACCCAAATAATAATTAGTAATGTCAGGTAACTAAGCAACTGAAGAATTAGCCTTAAGACCAGAGAGCCTAAGTAAACATCAGTTTGTTCTCTGGGATGGAATGTAAACGCTGGCAGTCTTTTTCTTCATCAGCTTTGACAGGAATGTCTGCTAAGACAACAATGCAATACAGCAATATGAACAGAACCTGATATACAACAAAAACACTCAAAAACTTAAAGAATTTCATGATCTGCTTCACCGAAAACCCTCAAAGAGACAACGGAGCAGCACTCCGTTTGCGTCATGTGGGCTCCAGTGAACAGCCGTTTCTGGATCAGGCGGGGGGAGCTGGGTAAACCACCATCTGCCCAGCATTCAGCTGCTGCACAGAGGGTTTAAGATTCATCTGACAGCCCAGTCTGTTTCTTATGCATATTACATTTAATACATAAGAAAAACTGCTGAGGCTTATCAATCCCATTTCAAAGATTGACCCAGGGAAGTCATGACCAGGCCCTCGTTGGGACACCATCACAGGGTCCTTACTGTTGGGGTGCCCTCATCGCAGGGTCCTCATTATAGGGTCCTCGTCGGGGCACCCACATCGGAGGGCCCTCATCATCGGGGTGCTCTCATCACAGGGTCCGTATCATCAGGGTGCCCTTATCGCAGGGTTCTCATCCTCGGGGCGCCGTCGTCCTGGGGTTTGCATCGGAGGGCCCTCATTGTCGGGGCGCACTCGTGACAGGGTCCTCATCATCGTGGCACTGTCATCATCGGGGTGCCATCGTCAATCACAGGGTCAGCTGCTGGCTGACTGGTAGTGACTGATTGACAGTGGTCAGGGAGACACGTACGCACGCACACACTGAGCAGCTCACAGCACCTTGCAGGATGCAGCCACACACATTATTTGCTTCATAAAAGCTTCCACTCAAAAACAAGGGGCTTCCCACTTTGTCTGCTGGGATGTTTGTTGTGGCCTTGCTGGGGCCATGTAACACTGCATCCCTGATCCATTAAACCCTAAAATGGTCATCACCCGCTGTACCCAGCCCCACCCTCACCAAAGAACAAGGGCTGCAAAAAAACCCAAATCATAACCATACAAATTAGAGACCGAGGAACAGTGTTTATGGGGACAGACCAAACCTGCGGATCATGGGGGATCCTCCTATCAGACTTGTCAGCAGCAGCAGTCAGCGATGGACTTAAATCCACTGAAGTGTGATTTCTAAAACAATAATGTAGCAGTGCATGCAGCTCAGGCACATGCTGCTGCGCTTGGAGCTGCAGAGAGGAGGCGGGGGGCGTTGGACACCCTGGCGGGCCCTGCTGTGCTGTTTCGCCCCCAGGACACGGCCTGCTCACCTTCCTGTTCAACATGGCCCACATGACGGTGTCAAAGGTGCCCTTGGCGATGAGGTAATGCACGTGCACAGAGCGGCTCTGCCCGATGCGGTGCGCTCGGTCCTCTGCCTGCTTCACATGGCCTGGGTTCCAGTAGAGCTCGGCGAAGACGACATGACTGGCTGCTGTGAAGGTCAGGCCCTGCAGGGGGCGTCAGAGCTTGACATGGCAGGCCAACCAGAACACAGCCCCCAGTATAATCTGGCTGATTAACACTTACATCTACAGTGACAAGGCGCGTGTGGTAGTGTCATGGCCATGTGACCGAGGCCCTAATTTTCTCCCACTTCCAGAGCACGGCTCCTTAGAAGGCCATGAAAGGACAGAGTGGCCACTAATGCAGGCCAACGCAGCCACGGCCCTTAGTGACAGTATCAGTGTGGCGATGGCCGCGACCTGCCCAGCGGGATGCAGTCACACCTGACCAGCAGCCTGGATGCTCAAGATGGCCACACGGGTGACGGGGTCGCTCTGGAACTGGTGCACCAGGCGGATCCGCTCGGAGGACGGGACGCTGCCGTCAATGCGGATGTAGCGCGCCTGGGAAGTTGGAGAAGGGCGGGGTGGGGTGGGACAGGGCAAGAAATTACCCAGGAACAGATTCTCACCACCCATCGGCAAATCACACTTTTCCCATTTTTAACAGTCACAAGGTTACTATTTTGATGAGTGCTGATCTGCTATTGGCTTTGGACACTGATGTATACTGGTCTGCGACTGACAAAAACATTCCTACAATGTGACTCACATTGAAGACCCGCTCTTTATTGCGAGCATGTGTACAGACACTGCTGCATACTTACAGAATGTACAAGGAGGATAACACTGGTAACACTGGACAGCTACGATCAAGTTTGCTGGTGACAGTTTTTTCTGAGCCCAGCGAACTGGAGCCGACTGTTAGCTACTAGAATGTTTCAGGCCTCTATTTTAAGTCCAGATTCCGTTAATTGGCCGTGATGAATTTTAGGCTACAGCACATTCACACGAGGAAGTGTGAGTGCATACACTCCAGATAACACTTCTCTCCTAGTCCCCCCCATCACAGCTGACAGCGTGCCAGGACCGGTGGCTGGCTTTCCCGAGGACTCAAGACAAGTGCTGGAAAGTTGGAAAGTTTGGGAGGAGATATATTGGGCTGTTCCCAGGAAGGAACTTTCTGGAAGGTTGTGGAGGTGAGTGGCATGCTGGAGGAATGGTCACACACCACACACACGTTTGCATGCGGCTGGCCTGGAGGCGCTCTCCTGCAATGCCACACCACACCAGCACTGCCCATTTACAGAGCCGGGTCCCTATCTGGAGATTCTGACGGGTCAGGAGCCTGCGTCGCTTCCCAGCAAGTGACCTCTGACCCCCAACCACAGGAGTTTCAATAGTACAGCTGTAGCAGGACCCAGCCAAGGGAGGTGCTGATTACAAACCGGCATCCCCGCCAGACAGTAACGGAGAGTTACAGTCCTGACAGGCTCCCAGTCACCTGGAACACAGCCAGGGAGATTTCCTAACTGGAGATGAGGGGAAGCTGTGCTCCTTCAAGACCTCCATCACTGCAGGGGCCCGGCTCCGAGGGAGCGCCGGCGATCGCGGGGGATGTGCGCTTACCTTGGCCTCGATGACTGCCTCTGTGCATGCCTGCAGCATCGTCAGGTGGTGCGCAAACACCAGGAACTTCAGCTCCTTGTTCTCCAGCATCATCTTGATGTAGTCCTTCACCGCACCTGCCTAGGAAACAGCATCAGGGACAGTGAGGCCCTGTGCCCCGTGGGTGCTGGCAGCCACACCAGTATCGGCCATGCGGTGGGCCCTGTGGCCCCGTAACTCACAGAGGGGCCGCAGCATTTTTGTCATCACATTCAGAAATAGACCCTTCATTTGCGCCATTTTTGTCTGCCTCCATCGCCACCCCTTTCTGCAGCCATAATTTCATACCTTTGGTTTTATGCACAACATTAAATCTATATCACTGGAGCCATATTTGCACAGTGATATTAATGACGCACGCATGTATTTGGACAGATCACCATGTGGTTCTGCCCTGGATACAAAGCCTTGGGGTTGGGGCCATGTGGCCGCATGTTCATCTCTGCCCCATTTTCCCGGCACCTGTACCAATCCGCCACACAGCTGCACGTCTTCTGCAGCGAGACACGCCCACCCCCCACCCACACCGCTGATCACATGGCACTGATCTAAACGCAGGCCAGCCACGCTTGTCGTCCCCCATAAAACGTGGGAACAGACATGAAGAAAAGAACGAGGACCAGCACGCCTCTGCGACCCGCAATGCAGACAGCGTCCATCACTTTTGCAATCTAATTGTACCCTGAACCACCTCATAACCCCACAGTACAGCGTGGCTGCGCATTGAAGAGCTGACAAATGCAAACAAATGTCCCCGAATTAAGGTCACACCTGGGCGGCGCCACGGCGCATATTACACAGGCAGCCTGCTCTCACTTTACCCCAAAAAGTGGCGCTGAAGAAACTTAAGGTTAGCAGGGAAGATAGTGTAAAACCTCTGTGGGGGATTGAGCAGGATGAGGTGTGGGGGAGTTTGTCCGGCGCTGCCCGCACTGACGGCCTGCCACAGGAGCCATCCCTGGAGGCTGCCCCTGTAGCGAGGAGCGAGGCTGTCGGAGCCACATCTCAAACTTTGCTGTTGCCATGGCGAGCTGCTCCCGGCAGCAGGAGACAGAGGAGGTGCAGAACAGCATCACCTCCACTCCTCATCTTACTCTCAGCCACGAGCCAAAGACGCCCTCATTTCCAATAATTGGCATTCTGCCTTTCAGCTATTTTCCTTCAAGTCACTTTTAGGTAAACTAAAAAAAAAAAACAAGATTAATTAAGTGAGCTACACTTTAGAGTTGTTGCTTTTGATTACTGTTGCCAGTGCCTTCCTTACTAATTAGTCTCCGCTGCTTCTGAGAGGCTCATTCATCGGTGACCTTGGAGTTTGGAGCTTCAGTGCTGCTGAATGTGTCTGTACCTTCCTACATCATTAATATGAAACAAACACAAATAATGTTTTTAAAAGCCTAACACTGTAATTGGGAATGGAAGAACACAGCAGCCGACACGCCACCATCAGCGCCCTCTAGCAGCAGTCTCGAGACCAAGGGCGTAATCCGGACGCCCTACTGGAAGCTTCCAGAAGGCCCCTGTGGACAGGGAGCTGGATGAAGTCTGTCCAAACCTTGGCGATGGCTGTTTGCTTGTACATGCGTGTGATGAGCCCCATGACTTCCACAAATGGGTCTTTTTCACTGTGTGGGGCCCCTGAGGCCAGCACCCCCATCAGCTTCTGCCATTCCTCAAAGCTGGCGCTGGCTTCCTGAGAGATGGGGGGGGAGAGAGAGAGAGAGAGAGAGAGAGAGAGAGAGAGAGGGAAGGAGGCACTTTTTTTTGAAGCTATAAAGGGCAGAACAATTAATGAAACTGTGAATGTTGGCCTACTTATCCCATGCTCAAGAAAGGGAGAGGAAAAAGAGAATTCCCAAAGACGGCAGTCCTCTAGCACTGTGGAACGTCAACGCGGGCTAGGTCGGTCACATGGCCCTCCCAATTATAGAGCGCCGATGACAAGCGGGGGGGGGGGGAAGATGGAAGCTCGCCGTCCCAACGTAATAAATCACAGGCGGATAGTTCGCTCTCAAGGTGAACTGCAAGGAGTATTTAGGGGAGTCGGGAATGACTGGAAGGGAATTAGGGCATGGAATGCCGGCAGAGAACAAGCACTGACTTGGGGCAGAGTGTGTGCTGTGTGTGAAGGTGCCATCTCACACATCATGAGGGCGCGTGTGGTTATGTGGATCAGGACAATGTGCCCGTGATTGGAAGACTGTCATGTCAAACCCCCAGTTCAGCAGAGGGATGTCACCACTGGGCCCCTAGGTGAGGCCCTTAACCCCAATTATCCCAGGGACTGTCTGACCCAGCTTTCTCTATTGAACATTGCTTTGGATAAAGCGACTGCTAAATAAAAATGGCAGCTTCACACAGAAGAAACCTGATGATAGACAACCTAATTTTAAACGGGATCAGCTGCAGCATATGGAATATTCACAGTTTTAACAGGTCGTTAATTAACTGTACACACGCTTGCGAGCATGCATGTGTGTGAGGGTGTTAGAAAGGCAAAAAGAGGCGTGCGTCTGAACCGACAATGTGTGATTTATGGTGTGGAGCATATTGGGGCTGAAAAAGCAGGCGGAGATGATGGTGATGGTGGTGGGGGGCGAGGGGTCTAAAATGGCTGCATCCTCCACCCAGACTGGGAGCACGGATCTACTCTGTACAGCTGTACCTCCCAGGGTACCTGAGCACATGAAACCACAGCCAGCTGGAGTTTAGGGCCACGCGCCTCAGACAACCGGAAGAAATGAGGAACAGCATCCTTCACGCCATCGTCAGTTCATCAACATGCCAATTGTAAATTTAGCCATACATCCTCAATGGACTGATGTGGCCTGTGTTACATACCTACAGCAGTTCAGTAGTTATGTCAGACAAATAACTGCTCTTTTGTCTACAAGGGGAGGCCTTATAAATACCAAACTAATTTTTTAATGATGATTAAAGGCAAAATTTATTATATACTTTCCCTTTCCAAATGAATAGCTTTAAATCAATTACAAAGAACAGAAAGTATTATTAACACTGAATTTAACATTAATTCTAATTAGTCTTCAAATATCACAAAATACCAAAGAATAAAAATGAACTACTATGAAGATAAGAATTGCTCTCGCAGTCTGTGGCCACCCACCCCGCGAAAATGATCAAATTTGCATTTCAGGGGGTAAAAACAGGAAGTGGGGAACGAGGGGAAAAAATGAAAATCTGAAAAGTACAATATGATATGATAATTAGTGTTATCCTGACAGTATTGCCTAGCAACGGACAAAGCCGCAGCAATGAAGCAATGAGGTCTATATTAAGCAGCCCCATCACGGTGTGGGGCGCTGGGGGACTGGGGGGCGTTTTGTACCTTGGCTCCATCTTTGGGAAGGTCGAATGGGATGCGCTGCCGGATCTTGGGGGGAAGCTGGGTGAGCACCTGCGCTTTGAGCCGGCGGATCATGACCTCAGCCAGGCGTCGGTGCAGCTCGTCCAGGTGCGACGCCCCCCGACAGTCCCACTGACGCCTGCTCCCAAAGAACCTGAGCCGGGGGGGAGGTGGGGGCGCGAGTGAGGAAAACGCCACCCCCAGAACAGCCTTAGGTCACCAGGCAGGCAGGCAGCTCCGGCCGCAGTCACCTCACGGAGGATCCGAACCCCGGCATGTTTAACGCTTTTCCGTTTCTACAGCTGCAATTCGCTATCAAAAGCAACATATCAGCGATAACGATGACGCAATCCTGCAAGCCTCTTTCACACACTTATTTATGCGAGGCCGAAGAGGAAATTCTCCGTCAACTGTGCGTGGCAGGAATATTACATGTATTTACAGCAAGCTGTTTATCCTCAGTGATCAGATTACATGTGCATTATTTAGAGCATCAAAATCCCAGAGGGAACAAAAACTCATACTTAGGGCTGGGTACCGAACTTCAGTACTTTTGTGGTACCGAATGAAATGCTCCAATCCTATGGAGGATTGAAAAATGGAATATATTTCGGTGCCAAATTCCAACACCAAAACAGTAAATCTCAGCGTCTGTGAGCATGCAGCACACTTCTTTAAATATCTAAAATCGCTGGTGACGTGTTTGTGAAATGTCAGAGGCCAGTCAGAGGCCAGTCAGAGGCCAGTCATTTTTGGAGAAAATTTGGAGAAAATATGCCCCTCATTTATGCCTGAATGGCTGACGACAATGTCGTATATCACGTGAAACACCCAGAGAGAGTGAGAATTGGTGTGTATGTGTATAGGTGTGTGTGAGCGAGATTATCGGAATTCAGTACGATTGCAGGTCCACGGAGGCACTACTGTGGAGGCACTTACAGTGATTGCTTGCTGATTGCTTGACCACAAGCACCAGCGCTAACATGGAAGTTATGCGGTTGAGAGGAAAAAAATAGAGAGTAGATGGTATTATTTTTGTACCTCAATAAGACTGAATACCTTTTGCCTGCATCTCCAGCCGGTGCCGGCGGTGAAATGTACCAGTGCTTATTAGTGGGATAACATTACATCATTTTTTTTTTTTTAATTCTGTGGAAAATGAAACATCGATCTACTGGCCAGATTGATTTATGAATTATAAACATGTCATGGGTTGTATAAATAAAATCAGGGCACTCAAGTCTCACGCATTGACTGTGAGACACACGCATTTCAAGCAATTCACATGCTCACAGAAGGAAGGGATAACGCCCACCAAGATGTCCCGTTATATAGAAATAATGAACAAGGTGCAAGCATACAAAGTGGAGTTTTCCGCCCAGTTCATAGCAGTCCTGATCGAGTTAGACAGTTAATAGCTACCTACCAGCCAATCAGAAAATAGCACTTGTTGCATGTGATCCCACTGCAAGCACGTTTTTATATGGATGCGCACAAAGAGTGCAGACAAGGTGGAAGTGGCTTAGTAAGATCCCATGAATGCAGTAGGCAGGGCTCTACGTGTCATGCATTGACCGTGAGACATACACTGTGCCCCTAACAGATGTAATCTAACTTCAAATATTTGAAGAAACTTGAGAGTCCTGGTAAAATATTAATAAAAGGCTGTGTCCCGTTCTGATTGCGATCGATGCCCCCAATAGCTAAACAATAACCAACAAAACAACTTGTTTAATGTATTCGTGTTAGTTTTTAAATTAATTTAAAAACTGATACAGATACTGAAAAAAAAAGTGTTGTTCAGGAACTGGTATCAAAATCAAGGTATCGTTTTGGTACTGGTATCGAAAAATGTTGAATGATGCCAAGCCCTACTCATACTTAAGTGAATTTGAATTTTGCATTTATGGGGATATGGAGATGGGATCAATAGTAAAGCTGACACAAAACATTTTATACTGAAACTGTTTTACTGTCATGTAAGGAAACAAAGGGAAATTCAATCATATCTAATTACAAACACCTTCACTTGAAAATACTGCCTCCACCTGTCTTCAGATCTACCAGAAAATGTTTTCAATTATATTAAAATATGATAATTAATCATGCATTTATTTTCAATTAAATCACAGATTGGATGGTGCTCATTAAAACTTGTGTGCAACCTGGAAAACAAACTCGGAATGTCAATCAGGAGTCGTTAATTCAATCTCCACAGCATCAGAAGGCCTGAAAAACACAAGGCCTTCGAAAATCACTCATTAATACTCTGAAGCTGGTTTTAATTACATATATACGCAATTCAACAGCTTGAGGGCATTAATAAAACAGAAAAAGCTCATTTCCAACTGCAGAGTGTACAACACTGACCCTGTAATAAAGCCCCCGCACACGGCACAGAGGGCACAACACCGACGCTGTAATAAAGCCCCCGCACACGGCACA